ATAGTACAGACATTTTGTTCTTCAATTTCTAATTTGTCAAATCTTAGTTGTATGGTATTTAGTAAGTTTTTGTAAATTGTAAGAAGCTTCAGAAGAATACTTTAAAGTTGTTGTTGTTGTTGTTTTTTATTATATATATATATAGCAGTGGTTGAAACCGTAAATACTTACTAATATGGCTTTTAAAGTGGCTTTTCATTAAAATACTGTGCTTAGAGGCTTTTTTTTTATCAAAGTATAATTATTCAAACATAAGAAAACAATCCCTTTCTGTTCTAGGTATTTATTATCAACAGAATTATTAATTTGCATGAAAAAGAACGTAAGGTCAATTCTATTCTAGCATTTCACACAACTCCCTAAGATAAGGTCTGGAGGGGATATAATTAAAAAGTTCATGATTTTGGTTTTTCACTTATAATTTTTACTTAATAATCATTTAATTTTTGACTATAATTTATAAAAAATATATTTAGAAACTTTACATACCATTCAGCTTTACACCACCAAGCCAGTTTCAATTTGATCAGACAGTATCAGATAAATGTCTAACACGTTTTTTTTAACATATTACTTACTCTGAAAGTTTTCCTTTAAAAAAAGAAAACAATTAATAAGGTGAGGCAGATGAATATGAGAAATGAAAATATATGCTGTGCTTTTCTAATACAGTCTACAAAAACAAAGTTTTGTATACAGTAGGAAACATAAACAAAAACATTATAAATTTTACAGTTTTAACCCTCTTGCTATGGGCTTAGTGGACTATAGTGACCTTGTGACCATTAGTTTCCATACTATAACTTAATATGTTTTGTATATCTTCATGAAATTTGGCAAGATTTCACTGAACATTACAAGTCTTGTATTTAACCATCTTTCTACGGGCATCTTTTTCTGCGCATGTCAAGAGGTTTTAGTGAGTTACATTCAAAATTTAATTAAACTACTTTTTTTCATGATATACTGATACTTATAGCATAAAAACATAGCTAATAATCCATACTTTAGTAGTACATAAGTTTTAAGTTCTTACTTTTATAAGGCAATATTTAAAATACATCTAGAATTTCCTCTAGTGTGAGAATTGGGACATTTGTTCCCTAGGCATCCCCTCTTCTCTAATTTATTTGCAACCCCTCTAAGAAGTAAGAAATTTAACAAAAATTACTCGTTATAATATCGTCATCACTCAAGCAAAATACTTTTCATAGTCTTCAGTCTTATTTTGGATACACAGCCATGAAATAGACAATCAGACCCCTCTTGTCACATCCTCCCTTTCAGAAATTGCCAGTAGTTCTCTCTGATGTTCAATACTATATTATTTATAATGAATAGAAAGCCAAGGTTTTCATCTAACAAGTGACATATTATATTACATTGTTTTCTGTAAAGAGAATTGTCAGTTTCACTTTCAGTTCAAGCTTGATTCCCACGGGAAACACATCAGTGAGCTTAGATGAAGTTTTAATGGTGAGTGTTACATAGTTATAAAAGCAGAAAAATTGTGATAGTTATGGGACATTGTCTGCTTTTTGCATGTTATTATTCTGTATTCTTTGGTGCATTATTCAATTAAATAAAAAGGTTTTTAGTGCAGTACTCTTATTAGTATAAAAAAAGTAGGGTTAGTGTCACTAACAGTCGACAGCAAAAAAAGAAAGATCTAGGTAAGTACTTTTCTCTTGTTTTTCGTGTATATTCTTTATTTATTATTATAAAAATAACTAAAACTGTAAAGTTGGAAAGTTTTTATGTAGTTAAGGTTAGATTAGGTGAAATAAATAATATTATAATAAAATTATTTCATGAGGTTTGCTTGCGAACAGCTTGCAAGTAACTCGTGGGTAACGTAATTCAATAGCGTAACATGAGCTTCATGTTCGCTAAGTGATTTACAACTTGTAATGGTGCAAACAGTGGTTAGACACAGTTCAAAGGGTAATAAAACAATGAAATTTAAGTATGAATAAATGTATACTGTTATGAGTTTAAAGCTATTTAAGATAAACAAATGTAGTTTCATATTAACATTTGAAGTCATTCGAGAAGACAAATAAGTAATTTAGATTTATTTTGGTGGTTATGAGGTCAGTCAGATTGACCATCCTTGCATAAAGTTTGGGTAGAGAAAATAACAGATAAAATATAATTTTTTACTGTAAAAAACATTTGACATTTATTTAGGATGTTTTAGAGATTATGCAAATAAAATTTGAGATTTTTGAGACAAATAAAAGTATTTTTAATCTTAATGTGGAAATTACTTAGCACTAGGACTATTATATATAAATACTATATACATTCATGGACAAATCTTTCCTAAAAATACTTCATAAAAAAAATTGATTTTTTGCATATGAAAGACTTTTAATGCTTACTAAAAGTCTACCAAATTTTGTGAAGATATCCAAAGTGTATTAAAGAGTTATGGTATGGAAATTATAACGAGTTCAAAATAGTACCTTGTAGGGAGAGAATTGAGTATTTTTACTAAAACATTCTCAATGAATATATGAAGTCTGAATGTTAACTGCTCCAAGCACAAAATTGTTTTTATGTTAAGATTGAAAATACTATTCTTTATCTGAAAATTGTGAAATTTCATTTGTTTAATCTCTGCATATTGACCTGCCTCTAGTGAGAGGGTTAAGAGACAAAAATTAAATTTAAATTGTCATGTTTGACCTGTAAACCTGAAACAGAGAATTTGCATTAGCAAAACAACATCAAATACCATTTTGTTAAGACTTACTTAAGAAGCTTTAAGTAATTGTCCTAGCTTCTAAGTCGTGTTAAACTAACTGGGAAATGGAAACTAACTGGATAAGCTATTGCAACAATGTTCTAAAGTTTGAGCTATTAAGTCAATTCATTCATAAGGTGTTTATAGTCTACACATCAGCTTTTGTTTTACAAACTGCTTATAAATGATGTGTCATTTATGTTTCATATGACCAGTGAAGAAGAAAAAATGAGTTGGATTGTTTTTAATAGCGTTTTTTTTTCTTACATAAATTGAAACTTATGGTAGAATTTTCTGCTAAAAACAATAAGTACATTATTGAAAATGTTAAATATGGTACATCAGATTAATATGTTATGGATAGCATTTTTTCTTACATTTGTTGGTTATCTGTATCTCTTGTAGGCTGCTGCAGCATTCTATGGTCATCCAAGTTCTTTTGACAATACAAAGTATGGACATTTCCCTGGTTCTGGTGTTTATGAATACTCTGCGTCACAAAACATGTCTCCAAGTAGTCGGGTAGGAGGTGCTCCCAATTCTCCCCTTCTACCAAACATGTCTTCATTTAATTCAGTTAATTCTGGTGGTCCTAGTCTCAGTGAAGTTCATAGGTTACATGAAGAACAAGTTGTTAGAACTAAATTAGCCACAATGGAAGAAGGATATAATCAATTGAGAATGGTAAGTAGAGGTTGTCTTAAATATTACACACAGATTGTTTCAATATACCTTTTCTATGTTGCTGGATTGTTACAGATGTGTGTATTATTAATTACAGAAGGGTTTTTATACTTTCAATCAGCATTAAAAGAAAAGGAACTGTTTAAATTCAATAAACAATTATTAATCAAGATTCCAGTAGAAGACTTCTGATACTCACAAGAACATTAACAAAAAAAGCAAAAGAACAATAAGAGCACTAGGCTGCATTTTGCAAAATTAAAATGCATTCATATGCTTATATTAGATTAATTTATCTCTTTATAGTTTGATGTGAACCTTTTCTGGATTATATATTCATTTCACATATCACTTTATACTGTATTCGTTTTATTTTATGAACTAATATAGTAATTATTCACAGAAAACAAAAAATTCTTGATTCCATTCTACTTCTTTGGTTAGTGTTGAGGGAATCTGTTGTCTTTAGTTTAAATGTTACTTTTGCATTATTCGCACAGGAAACTCAGAATTCAATCTGCCTATATGGTGTTTAAAAGAATATGTGACATACTTTCATGTTTTTCAAAACTCTGCCATTGAGTCCATAATATTTTGTGCTGCTTATGATTTGTGGATTAGACCTTTTAAGTTGAATGTAGATTAGTTACGTTAATATATATACCATTCTAAGCTGTCAAACTTACTGCTGAGCCACTAGAAGCAAAGATTGTTCATCAAGGCTTGAAATATTAAACAAAGAAACAAATAACTGTTCCTAGCTATCAGAATATTTATTTTTTACCATTTATGTTTGATTTCTTACATATTTTAGGTGTATTTCTAAACTTTAAGAGTTTTTTTTTCATATAATATCAGATAGGAATCACAAGAAAAACTGATCTTCTAAATACAAAATAAAATTTCAAATGTATGAATGAATGCAAATTAAGATTTAAAGCAATAAAATAAAGTTTGTGGAGAAGGTAATTTTATCTACGTGCCAATATTCTGCTGTGTCAGCTTTATCAGTGACTATCTTTACAGTACAATAAAATCTTCAAAGGACTAATTTAGTCTGTTATTTTCAAATAATTGAGGGAAAACAAATAAAGATACTATAATGGCATTAATTGTTAGTGTTTGTTTTTGGTTGCCTTTCCATTATTCCAACATGGTACTTAAAATAAAAACATAAAACTCCATTAACTTCCATTTATTAACAACAATATATCAAAATATGGTGATTAAATTTTTAAAGCTCATAGCAGAATGTTAGTACCATATATAATCTTTGTGCCTGTATTTTTTTTTGTTTTTTTTCATACAGATGTGTAGTAAGTATTGGTTATTATGTAAATCTAATATATTTTAACATGTCAAAATAAATTGTTTCTAGTTTTACGCATAAGAACACCTCATGAACCAATAAGGAAAGTTTATTAAATGTAGCACTTAATTTCTGAAATTAAATAGTGATAATATTACTGCTGTGTTAGTAAAAGAGAAATACAGAAGTCTTTTTTATTATATTTTTATCCTGTTTAAAATTATTGATACAAATAATTTCAATGTTCAAATGTTGCAGATTATTGGTAGATACATGTTCAGAACTGTGGTAGTAATGGTGCACTTTAGTAAAGCTGTAAGATACTATTTTGTATAACTTTTAAGTAGTATAAAACTAACACACATAACCAAAAAAATTGTAGTACAAATGGGTTAGCTTGTAAAATGCTAATTTGCATAAGCTACATGAATTTTTTATGTCTTGGGTTATATATTTATTGTTTGTTAGTAATTTTGTATTAAAAAACTCACTCAGGAGTTCCTCGGAACTTTCCAGGCATGTGAAGCATGGAAGCGACATGCAGAAGATGCGAATAGAAGAGAAAAGGTTAAAGAACAACAGAGAGATGAGGTATGTGTAATACTGAGATTAAAGAAACACAAAGTTTATCGTAGGATCTTTGCCAGTACAAAAAATCTACTAGGTGTTGTGGTAGCTATTGTTTGCAGTACACGGGCATTAGATAATACATGGCAAACATGTAGTGACTACTTTATCAATGATTTCCTTTTTATACCCTTTAAAGAGGTAATTTACTTTTTGTGGTGTAACCAAAATCTGGGACTGAATTTTAACCTGTTTTTTACCAAATGGGGGTTGTCTTGCCTTCCTTCTAAAGGTAATTTTAAAGATGTATTAGGAGCAAATGCATATTATATGAAATATACAGATTTGATTATATTTTACTAATTTTATAGATCAGTTTTTAATAAAATAATCGGAGATTTTATGCTTTTAAAAAGAAGTGAAATTGCGTGTAGTAATAGCATTTTGTGCAATTCTTAAAACCTTACAGAAACCCTCAAAAAGTAAAGAATTATGTTCCTACAATTAACTTCAGCTACAAATATGACAATTGAAGAGCTGGAAGTAAGTAGAAAAACAACATAATCTCACAATGTTAGAGAAGAAAGAAACAGAAACATTGCAACTAATAACTATATGATTTTAACTGATATATTATAATTTTAGTCATGTCAATATTTCCTATATTTGAATTTTTGTTTTTTTTTCAGAACGTTGTATATTAAAATTCATTGGCTTTCATAGAAACTTAAACTTGTGTGAAAACATTACCTATATGTTTTGGTATACCCCCCCCCCCCCTTTTAACAGAGTTTGAAATTAGATACATTATTTTGGTTCTTTATTAATGTGCTGCTGTTTTTCAATTTATGCAGTGATATATAGTTAAAAAGGGTGCATTTTTAAATAAAATTGAATTTGTAGAAAATCCATTCACTTGTCCGATTCTAACTTTAGAACCAAATAAAGTATGTATTGCAATAACAATTAAAATCAATATACAGTAATAAAGTTTAAGTATTTTATTTATGTGCCGATATTATACTGTGTCAGCTTAATCAATGACTGTCTTTATAGCACAGTAAAATCGTTTCTTCACGAGATTAATTTAGTCTATTATGTTCACAAAAGTGAAAGGAAAACAGTAATTAAGCATACTAAAGTTAAAAAGTATTCAAATTAGGTGAATCTGCATTTTAATCAAACTTTAAGTACCCTCGGTGGCTCAGCGTTATTTTAAAATAACATTGCATTCAATAGATCTCCTTGAGTGCAAGCTTTGATGATTGAAATATGAAGTTTAGAAAATAAGTAACAGTGAACCAGTCTTATACATTAACTTGATAATTAGAAAATTTGCCATAATAAGATGACAACTGATGAGAAAGTTAATAATATTGTTTGTCTTTTCATTATTCCAGTATGGCATTAAAAAAAAGTAAAATAAAGATGCATTAGTTTCCATTTATGATCATTGTAAAAATGTGGTGTTTAATGGAGAAGTTTGAAAAAATTGACAATTATCAACAGATAGATTTGAAGTTTTTGCATTGCTAATTAAACTGTTTGGGATATAACATTATATTGGCATTGTGTGAATTGATAAATTTAAGATGTTTTTTTTTCTTTTTTGATTCTATTGTTAATTTTAGTAATCCATATTTTGTTTCTTAAGCATTAATGCTTGTTTATTTAATAGTTGTTCATTGTTTAACTCTGCCTTTTGTAGAGTTTACCTCAAATGTTGCCAAAGGTACTAATATTATAAATTAGTATTTCTTATATTCCAAACAATGTTTTTCGTTTTTTCTTATGATCATACCTGCTAATTGATTGATTGATTTTAAAGATAAAACTACTATGAAAAACATTAATTGTATTATGTTTCTTCTACTAGCAGCTTTTCCCTGGTTTTTTTATGAGTACAAGCACTTCAGTTGTAATAGCATATTTGTGTTCCATCAGTTATTAAAAAAATGTTTGGCCCTTTTTAGATGTATTTTGAACATGTTTAATTGTTTATTGGACAGTCTAACTGCATGTAATGAAAATAACATGTTGTTCATCTATGTTCCTTTGTAATTATAAAATAATAATAATTCATGTGTTTGCTACATTGTGTGTTTTAAGTTTTAAACTTGGAACCTGTAGCTTTTAAATACAAAAATGAAAGGGTTTTGATGAGAAAAAGTAATAACAACACCAAAGCAAAAAAACCAACTGCTGTGTTAAGGCCTTTACAAAATATTGCTATAAACTATTTGGGCTTGTTGTAATATATTTCTTCAGAATTTGAGGTTTGTTGTTTTAAATATACTTTCACCTTTTCTCTTTTTCTTTCATTTAGGCTTTAGCAAAATTAGACTTACTCCAAAAGGAAGTAGAAAATCTTTCTGGTGGCTCTTTATTACACACACTAACAGGAGTATCAGAATTAGAAACTATACCCTTGGGCGAACTCAAACAAATAAAAGACCAGCTTATAAATGAACTAGACAGGCTAGAAAAGGTAAATCCCTTGAAACTTGTACAATTAAACAAGGATTTAATGATGACAGTATTCTCCAGCTGTCATCAAGGAGGAAGTATTGTATTAAATGAAAATTTTAAAAAGCTTAAAATATATGTATTTATAACTTTTTTTGTACCAAATTAAATTTAAAAAGTTTTCAGATAGAAATTTTTAAAGACTGTTAATGCAGTGTTTTGATCTGTTTGGTGTTTTATGATTTTACATTTTTTTTCAACCATCATTTCTTAATAACAAAAATTAAATGAAAATAAAAGTTCAGGTAGCCTGTTATAATGTTTAAGATGTAAATATCAACTATGTGAAATGTTATTGTTGTATCTTCTAGATGAATTCTTATTAGATCTTCTGTATTAATTTTGGGCAAATTGTATTATCTTCTCTGCAGTATTTGCAGTAGAGTAATTAAATATATTACTTTGTTCTTAAATGATCTTAGATAGCTTTATTGTAAGATTTCAAAGCAGTTTTACTTTTTTTTTGTATAATAATAAATAAAAAAATACTGTTTCCAGTTAATTCCCTACAGGTACGTGGGATTTTTTAAAATATTTTTTGAGAGTTGAGTACGTTATAGTTGAATATGCAGATTTGCAAGTATTGTGACAATCATATCCAGTATAAAGTTATGTGGAACAGAATGTATCAGAACTACATTTTGACATTGATTGGTGTTTATCTCCTTCACAATAATTATTCCTAGGTCAAATACCCCACACCACCACACAAACACACACACACTAACTTGGTGCTTATGGTTCATAGAATAATAAATACTACAACAGGTTTTGACAGTATCTTGATCTGTCATCTTAAAAATCAGAAGATAGACAGTCACAGTTTAGATATAATTCCTTCATACGAATTGGACTTAAAGCAGCAAGACCCTTTGTCCAGGGATTGAGACAGAAGACACTTTCAACTTTGTATTAAATAATAACTAAAGATTAATTTTAATATCCTCATAGCAATCCTCATTCCAATAATTTACTCTGCAAATAAAGCATAATGTTACTATGATGAGTTGATAAACTAATAAATCCAGACTAGTTCAAACTTTGAGTTGTCTAAAGTTGTGGTACATAACTGAGAGTTGAAAATCCACCTCAAATGCTGTCTCTCAATAAATTTGACATAAAACACACATGATATCAGTATGTTCTCATTTGATATTTATAATGTAATGGAAATTTCTAACAACAACAAAAAAAACACTATTGCTTGCTTGTGTACCACATAGTCACTCTTGGCCATGACAGTTATGTTGACTATCAGAGTGTAGAATTTTTTTACTTGGCTTAAAATTGGAAGGACATAAATGAATTTCCCGTGTATATGGATTGTTGATGATTAATAAAAATCAAGTCACTGGACCAACTTCAACATAATTTTGTTGTATTCTAAGCACATTTTTTTGCTTGAAAACTTTGTATTTCATGAAATAAAGTTTCAGGTTGGGAGGTGCATTTCCAAGTAGGTCATGCTACCAGAAACGGGGTATTTTTTGCATTTGGCCTTAAAATAATGGCTTGGATTTCCAAATGTAATTTTACTGGTTGATGAAAAATGTTTTTGTTTTCTTATCCCCTAAATTTACACCAAAAACCTATACATGAATGGTCTTAAGTAGAACTGAATCTTTAATAGTAGCAAATAAGTGCACAATATCATGTATGAGGAAGTTTATTAATGATCGCAAGATAATGATTAATCACAACTTTGAATTTATTTTTGAAATATTTTTCCTATTTTCTTTTTTTTAGGTGATTTATCATAAAACAGCAACAAAGTGTATGGTATGTGAAAACCAGAATCGTAGTGTAGCCTTGTTACCATGTAATCATTATGTATTATGTAGCCAGTGTGCTCCACACCAGTCAAAATGTCCTTACTGCCAGGCTGATATTGCTCAGCGATCAAGTATGACCATACCATTGTAAAGTAACTGGTTCTGCATTTGTTGAGAGGGAAGCAAGCTAGAAGTGGTTTATTATAAACTGAATCTTTTCAATTGGACTTCTGTAGAAATATTTCCATTTTGTAGTTTTACTCTCTAGAGCAATCATCAAGTGGGATCATCTCGTCTTTGCCAAATTGAGTACAAAAGGAAGCAAGAAAAATTGTAAATTTAACTCCTACAGAATATGGATTCTAGGATTTTAATCTGTGAAATTATAACTATATCTTTGGCAAAAAAATAAGTATTGTAATCTGCATTATTCCCATCCCTTGATGATTTTTTTTTGTCTTATGAAAAAAATGTGATGTGTAGACATGAACAATAGCTGAAATATTTTTTGTTTCTATTGTAATCTTGGCATTGTTAATGTTATTCTGTGCAGATGCTAGAATGTACTTTGTGTTATATGCTGTTTTATTTACATAGGTTGATACTCAGAACTGTATGCTGTGTAAAATAGAATATTGTGAAGGTACAATAAGTGGTTGGTAGTAATTTTTAAGTAGTTTTGACTCAATTTTTGAATTCTTTATAACGTGCTTATATCTATCTTGGTGGATGGTTCCTTAGCCCTGTCTAGTTTATGAACTATAAGAAAAAAATTTTTATACTTATCAGAGTTGAATTTTGTTTTTGTTCACTTTCTTAATCAAAAATGTTTAAAGATTAGGTTTCTAACAATATAAAATAGGATGTTTAGAATAATAATAATTGGTTTCTCAGAGCTAGGTTTAACCTGTTTCATAAATTTGTATATATTATTGAATGTCTGATTTATACACAGCTTAAGCCTTCAAAAATGTTTAAAGCTCTGTGTTTAAGGGTAATGCTGACACTGTAGACCTGTGGGTTGGCCTTCACAATGTACCCTGTGCTTTAAGCTGTGGGTTCATTATAAGAGTGACAGTCAATCCCTTAGCATGGATGGTTGGGTGCTACTTCAGTCATTGTTTGGTGTCTGCTCTAAATTATTACACATGAATTATACCTTTATTTTTTAATGATGTTAGCTGAGTACAGCACAGTGAATAGTGTGGTGGACTGTGGGTCAGAGGTTCTGTGGTTTGTACTCAGTTACTACCAACAAAAAAATGGCACTCCATACTCTGGGGCTGTGGGTGCATTATAATGGTGGCAGTCAAATTCCACTGTTCGATTAGAGTAGCCCAAGAGCTGGTAATAGGTGGTATTGACTAGTGCTGCCTTTCCTCTAATCTATTACTTTGAAATAATAGGTGGCTAACATGGATAGCCCTTGAGTAGCTTTAAACAGAATTTAAAAGAATTTAAATTGTGAACTATGTAGAAAGCCATTAAAAGATACTTTAATCCTGCTTTTCTGGTAAAACAAACATCTGTAAGAAATGTGCTATAAGTGGTGAAAATCTGTTGTTAATGGTAATATTGTGTACCTAAGGAAAGAAAGCATTATAAATTATGTTTATTTGTGTATAAAACAGAAATTACAGTGGTATAGCTATGGTCTTCTGTGACTCTAGGCAAAATTTGTATGTGTGGATTACCCCTTACAGTGGGTTATAGTAAGTAAATAGTAATACTTTAGGTTATTATATATTATTATTGTGAATTACTAAGTACTTGTGTTCTTAAATATGTCATTGTGTGCTTTAGGATAACAAAAACATTCTTTAGATTCCATTTTCTTGCTCATTCATTTACAGTGGACATTATATCTAATCCCATTAGATTTTTCATCCTTTAACACAAAATATAAAGCTTTACTGTGATCTGAAAACTATTACCACAGCTTGGGAGTGTAACAGAATCACATTCTTGATATGGTTAGCCTTGTATATCTACAAAATACCTCCCATTGTGTTTTATTTCCCATGGCAAAATTCCAAAAGGTTTGTATGAACAATGTGATACAACAAGTCTTTTGATCTATGCATCAGTAATTTCAAGCAAAAACTCTGCCCTGTCTATAGGGTGTTGTTGCTCTTACATACTACTTTTCTGTGTCAATAACACAAAAACTAATTGACACACTGCTAAAAACTGGTAGGAGGAAACGTGTGGAGTTATCCACCTTTGTAGTTCATACAGAACTTACTCTTGGCATGGAATTGCTAAAATGCCATGCAGCTACAGTCAAACAATTACTGTACTAAAAAGTAGTTTTGTTCTAATAGTCCAAAATAGTCATGTCAGAGTGGCTAGTATAATGTGAGGAGACATTTTTATTTCAAATTAGATATTTTCTTTGCATAGTATAGTACTACAATTCCATTTACATTTTAAATTTAGTGATCTTGTGATTGGTATCTTTCTGATCTATCTAAACAGTTAAACTTCTGAGTAACTGTCCCTTCCCTGATATATTTCTATACCACTGAAGAGATTCTGTATAGATTGAATGTTAAAATCATCTGTATGTTGATAATTTTAATGCCCCGAGTTATGTCCTGTTTTTCTAAAATGAGAAGAGCTGTTTATATTGTAACTAGTGATAGGTCTTAAGGCCATTTAAAAGGAAAAAGGTTCTCAGATGCAACAATTCTAAAAACCTCTAGGTAACCTTTGTTTGTTTGTTTGTTTTATAGCCAGGTTACAAGGCAACTATTCACCAAGGTCACCCATAAAATAATACTGATTCAATGAACAGATGTTCGTTGTGTAGCTTATATCAAAAGTCAAGACTGATGAGTAATTTAAAACAACAATATTCTCTGCCTAGTTGAATAAAAACATTCCACCTGCAGGTTATGAAACCACCTGCATATGCCTGAAAATTGACTAATTAGCTTTATAGGGTATAATTAAAAACTAATAAAACTTGTTGAATTTAGCACACCAGTGTAAAATATATTTACTACTCCATAGCTTTACAACTCCAGTACATATTAATAAATGTGCATCTTACAAACTATTTCAGATGGAAAAAAACTAGTTTTCAATGTTTCATTGAAATGTCTTTGTAAATAGTGTGGTTTCCAACCATCATGTTGTATTTTGTCATTTACAAAGAAAATTTTATTGGTAAAGCTACGATGTTTATAAGATTTCAGATACATAAATAAAAAATGTTCAAGCAGTCGCAGGCTAAGAATATGTAATTACCACACACTTCTCTTTATGGTGTTAGCTGTTTAGTGTGTTTTCTAATTTCAAAAACCAAGACGTGTGTACATGAGAATACTTACAATGATCACAACTGAATATAATCAACTCAAATACTAAGTAAATGCAGTCTGTTTCAGTTTTTAATATGTACTGAGTAACAGAAATACACACAGTTCATATATTCAATCACAGTTCTTTTATCTGTTTACTTGTGAAAAAATGTTAAAATTGTCATATAAAATTAAATATTCAAATTTTCTATTACAAAAAATGTGTGAACATTTTTTATTGATTGATAAAGCTGCTGAAACTTGGTAAAGAAATAACATTGTTAAAATAATCAGAACTTTGTAAAATTTGATTTTAGTGGCAAGAAAAATTAATTTGTTTATTGTTTCACTCAAGTAAACACAAATTTTATTTTAGAAAATAAAACCTAATGTAAAGAGCAACTGTTAGCTGTTTAATTGTTTTTAATATAAATACACAGAATGTAATGCCATAGTTGGACTAGTGTAAAGAAAAAGATAACCTTTAGTTCGGACAAATATAGTTTTAGGATTCAGCAGGAAGAGTGTATTGGATATTAATGAAAATAGCAGTGGTATGCAAGAAGAGACATGAAAACCATTTTTATTGTGGTAGATTTATCTTTTTTTTTAATGTGATGTGTGCTGTGCCAGTTTTAGTTTCCTTAAACAGAGTTTGAAGGACAAGTCTTATTAGTTGAACATTAAAATTTGAAAACTGTAAATATGCTGATATCTGAAATGAAGGCTATTACAGAAAACTTAGCTTTTTTCTAACACATTTTAATACTATAAAATACTGAATTTTAATTTAGATGCTGTGTAAGCCACATTACACATTAGTGATATTTTTTAATTTTACAAGTATGTGAATAAAGAAAAATGTTAAGACACTTGTGATAACTTTTATACTTTAAACAATTAGACCAGGTGATTTTTTCCTCTTTTTCAATGTTATCTATTATTTTGTTCTGTTACTTCTCTGTTAACATTTGGAAGATATTCAGTTAAACTAGACAGGGCAATTTGAACAAATAAGATAAATTATACTGAGTGTAAATGATGGGAAACCCAAATTTATCCATCTTTATACTATACTTTGCTCGAAGGAAAGTTTTTTTTGTTTTGTTTTTTATCTTTACAGATTATTCAGAATTTTCTTTCTCTTGGTGTTCCTTTTTCCATAACTATTGCAAACTTAAATGGGTAAAATTGTTAATAAATTGATTTATTTGAAAAGCAGTAATAAAACTTGCTTGATAATAGAAGTTGTGTGATGCAATCTGTGATATATCAAAGAACTTTATTCAAAATGCGACATGTACATTTTTCTTTGATCTTTTAGAAAACAAGGACAAGTAAAATATTTTTTTCCTTTTAAATATAATAATATTTCACATAATCCTTTGTTACTTTACCTTGATTAAGTTTGGATCTCACTTCTATTCATTGTATTATAACACTGATAATAGTAAGATAATGGTTGACATTGGGGATTTTATTAAAATGGAATATTTTGGTTGATGAAATGTTTTTATGATCCATATATATATATATATTACATTTGTCTAATTTTTATGTAGAATCATTACATTAAGGGGTAATTACCATGCCCTCAAATTGCCATCAGTGATGAGTGGTAATTGAATCAGGGCATTGTGGGTTTAAGAACTCCAGCTCTTAATCTTATTAACTTTTGAGTTGATAACCTGCTAGTTTTCATTTCTGTACTTTGGGAAATGTGAAGAGAGGAAGTAATCTTGACACGTTTATGGAGCTACTTACACAGAAATATTCCTCCAAAGTTTGTGTGTTTATATATATGTAATTAATGATTACATTCTGCAAGTAATGCGGTCAGCAGACACAGTAAAATGGTGACACAATTACACACAGTTTTTTATAGCAAACAGAAACCTCAAAAATACTGGGCAATTGAATTGCATAGTATACTAACTAACTACATTTTTTGTAAGAACTCTGTAACTCCTACAAATTGCTAAGTTGAGTTACAGGTGTATAATGGGAAACATGATACAATTGTTTTTTTTGCTTGAATGCCCAATAAAACAAAAGTGGAAAAATTTGTATTGTTACGACAGCGGGGTCACGTGACGAGTATTCTAGAAGATTCGCGATAAACGCTAGTGTGTTACGACAGTGGAAGTCAAGTGACACTGGTAGCACATGTTGAGAGCCTAGAAAATTCTATAAGAGGCGGTATTATCGTATATAAGTGCGCTAGACAGAGAGAGGGCAGAGAAAGAGAGCAATTTTTGCTAATGTTTGTTAATTTTTCTATGATACAAGTCCTTTCTTAAATAAAACTTGTTTATTCTTCCTCAATACAACTTTGCAATACACTTAATTTTCACAGTTACACACACGATAGTTCACAACAATTCACTCACTTTCTACCGCGCTTGACTCAATTGTCTGTCTCTATCTCCACCTGTCAGCAACTATAGTTCTGATCTCTGTATCTGCTATCCTCGGTTCTCGCCGACCGTAACTGCTGTCCTACACATATTTTAGCAATTAATCTCTGCAATAAAGCAGAGGTTATTAGAATTAGTACTTTCTCATCTGGATAATAGTAAACTATTAAATACTAGTTTTTCCATTTTAAGGATGTAATGTTTAGTTGCAAATGATGGAAAATGTAAACAGAAGCTATATTTTATTATTCTGGCCTGCTCTTTAGTATTACCATATACTGGAATAAGCATCCTTGTGCTTCTTATCACTTTTGTTGGTTATTTGCTTAATAAGGCATATGATAATAATGGGATGGCCATGTTTAACTTTAGAAGTAATTGCATAAACTTGAATTTTTTAAACTGAGATTTAAAGTTTTTTGAGTTGAAAGTTGAGAACTTTTATTTCTGATTGTGAAGGAAAAATTGATTAAAAATTTGAGAAAAATATCTGTTTTCTGCGACTTAAAAACAAGTGATTAAAACATCATATGCAATAATATGAACATTTATAAAATATTGTATCCTAAATGGAAACAAAATTCACTGGGCTATCTGTGTGCTGTCCACCAAGGGGAATAGAACACTGAAATTTAGTATTGTAACTCCGTACATTTACCACTGATCCAATGTGCGACTCGTAAACTGCAGGTGATTACTAAAATAAAGTTCAGAAACTCTGTAGCCAAAGAAAGTAGTTCAGTACACATTGAACATTTTATAATGTTAATTTAGGGTTAATATCAGAATCATACATCATCATCATCTGAAAACAACATATGCCAGTGTATGAATAACATTTGAGAAAAAAAAATACCTAAAACTTTGAAAATTTCGTTTTTATGAATATATCAGTAAAAACAAAACGTGTGTATTATTTCACAATGATCCACGGACAGATCTTAATCAAAAGCATCTTGTGATTGTATCATTAAAGTGATCATTATGCATTTAAATAAAGAAAACCTTTTTCATGGTCACATGAAAGCATTCATTGGAGGAGTCATCACAGTGACTTTTTCACCCAGTAAAATGATTATAAACTGTTTAATGTAGGGCAATGTTTCCTCTACTTTTTTCAATCCATGTGTGAGAACTTTTTCATGTGCACCAGTATCAAAGCAATGTGTGCCAAGTTTTTTATTTAGAAATGGGTGTATTTTTAGACCATCGACCCTATTGGAGGCCACTTTGCAATGCTATCAACTAGTTATTTGGGCTTTAGGCCTATCAGCTACCAGGGTCACTAAGGCTGTCAAAATGTTGATACTCCTCACCATTACCGAGGATGTGCACAGCTGGAATAATGAAGTGTGTGGCACATGACTGGTTGTTGTGTGGCAGCACAGCTTAGATGGAACACTGATGTAGGCCTAGTTTTATATTAATGTTAAAATATTTAGTGTATAGCATTTTTAACAAAAAACGAAAACACTAACAAGACAGTTCCATAAATAATAATAATTATTCTTTGTTTATTCAATTAATTAACTTATTTCAGTTTCCTTTCATACTTTTAAAAGAAACTAACCTAAAGCATAAATGCAATTTATGTCAAAATGATGCGTGTACCGAACATAAATAATCCAAACACAGTTAACTTCAGTATATGTTTATTTCACTGGTTTGAAGAAATTTGTTTAACAAAAGTTTATGAATTTTCATTAATAACTACTTTCAAAATACGTTTTTACTTCTAAAAGGTTATAAAAATTTCAAAGCGTAGAAAATTGTTTTAATGACAAAACCCGAGCCATACACCTTAATTTTACTGCTACATTATTATTTGGAGGTTTTTTTTGAAAGTATATAAATATAAATATTGCAAGAATCTTCAATAAGAACATATTTTATGTTTACTTATGTTTTAAGTAAATGTGTGGAGTATCACTCCTATAATAGCTAACCTTTTTAACATAAAAAAACGAACTGAACAATAAAAGATTCACCCCAAATGCCATAAATTCCAATTAAATTAGATTGTCTTACAAAACCTGACAAAATGCATTTGAGCAAAAATATTAAATATTTTTTCATAAGCATACGAGTTTACTGACTAAGATTCTAAGCAGTCTGTTCTCTACTCCAAAATATTTTAGTGATCCTCCAGAAAACTCAATGTGTGTGCTTTTTCATAATTCTCTCTTACACTAATAAACAAATACAATGGAACAAAAATGAAATTCCTGTACATAAAAACATTGTTTCTTCCAAAGGTATTTTTTTCACTGAACCTGTATAAAAAATAACATGGTTAATAAAAAGTAAGTTTTCTAATTCTATGGAACTTGTTTTAGTTGAATGGAAGTGACAATTCATTTTTCTTAAACAATTTGGTTATAAAAAAATATTTTCAAAATCTAAAGTAAATACTCATTATTATATTAAAATGCACTGCTTTCCATAACACAAAAATAATTTCTGTTAGGCAAGATTTTAGAAGGAAAAAAAATAACAATCAATAGTGATTAAAAATAACCCAATCACAGATTTCTGCTCATGTTATTCTCCTAAATATTTCAAAGATGTTCCCAGTAAAATGTAATTATGGTAAGGCACTAAGTCTTAATTATTATTGAATCTAAATATCAAAATCACAGAATCATTTAACCCTATAGAATACACTGAAAATTAAAAGCTCCCTTTTGATAATTTACTACAATCAACCAGAATGTTACTTCTGTACCATCAAAAACTAGAAGGTTTTTAAATAACGTTCAGAAACTTTTTTTGTTTGCATTTGATGCAAACACATCTTATTCTGCAAAAGTTCAGCAATGGCAATCGAGTTAAATTTAAACTGTGTGTACATCACAAAACAAAACATGATTCAGTAACTACAGAAGTCTCGGGAAAAATGAATGGCCATTAATACTTTTAATCCCAGTCCTTCTTTAACTCAAAGGTCCATTCCCACTTAAGATGTTCATTCTTGTCATCATCTGTGAACAGTGATCTAACAGTGTATTTGCCACGTGCTAACATTCCTGATGGCATTTCTTCTTGCTGGGTCATGAATGACTGTATCTCTGGCTTTGGTGCATAACTGCCAACCATTTGAGCTATTTTCTCCACTGAAAAGGAAGGAATCTCCATTAATGTAGTATTTAATATACTAATTTCCACTTCAAACTTCTGTAACATATTTAATAAAGTATTCCAACCCATCAACTGAAAATGGTTTCCAACATACTGCCTTATAAAAGACTAAAGCAATTTGTACACAAAAGTAAATTTTGGAAAAGCCTCTTAGAAAAACCTCAAAGAGCAGTATGTTGTTTTAGATAATGGGTATGAAAAAAGTTTTAACTTGTATCAATGAAGCGGTATGGTGATACCTAGTGCCTTAGTTCAATATCATGTAAATGTAAATGTGATAGAAATAAAATGGTGCCGTTACTTTCTTAAACTTAATAATGTTACATTGAAAAAATTGATAAATACTAAAAGTTATAAAATAAATAAAGATAAAATTGTCTAAGATGCATTTATATAATCTTCACGAGTCTTCAGTGTAACTTTTAATGTTTTTATTCTCATATCAGTTTGAATAAAAACTGTCACTAAAATAAAACAAGCAAATACAAAATGATCTGTCCTTGTAAAATATTTTTTACAAACATATCAGCATTCTATATATCATGTCAAAATATTATAAATGCTAACTGAACATACTAAAAATATTGTATCTATCTTTATTAAGTTATTTG